AAGTGGAAAGATCGTACCATCTCGGGCCAAGTCAAGGCCAAGGATCACTTGATCCTGACATTAGAGGAGGGTGGTACAGAAGAGGTTCCATATGATCAGATTGAGTGGGGCCTACGGGAGGAGTACAATTGTGTAGGGCAGGGGAGGTCTTACGCTGCTGTCGTGGCCGGAGGGAGGCCGCAAGGTAGAGGAGGAGGCYAGGGCCAAAGGGGCCAGGCCATGGGAGGCCGAGGACCGGGCGCACAGGGGGTTGGCGGACAGGGAAACGCCAAGCGGGAGGTAGGGGTCACGGTCCCCCGTTAAATCGCCAGGGTAACCGGTCTCCACAACGAGGAGGTGGAAGGGCACCTCAAGGAGGATGGCATCCAGGCTTGCCGCAGGGCAGGCCCTGGGAAGACTTGGGCTTGGACCGACAATTATGGCAGGAACGCGTGAACATGGGTCRGTGCGTATTTTGTGGTGACCCGGCGCACGTAATTAAATTTTGTCCTAAGTATAGACAGGCCCGTTGGGCTGCCCAACAGTCAAAAGGCAGCCGCCAGTAGGGGTCGCAACTGCCCCTACTTCAAGGCCATGTGGAGAAGTGAGCGCGTGCGAACAGGACACTCCCAACCCACATGAGCCTATGGCAGAGGTTGCAGGCCCGTGCCTAGATAGCTGTCCAGAGACTGCTTGTGTTAGCGTCTTTTTAGGCACGTCCCTCACAAGTGTGGCAGAAGAGTTAAAGGAGAGGATGCCAGCCTGGTCCAAAATGAAAAAGGAGAGTAAGGGACAGCTGATCTTAGTAGATGTAGAGGTGTTTAGGAGTAGAGTACGGGCCCTCATAGACTCAGGGGCTACCCGTAGTTATATTAGCCGTAGGGCGCTGAAGAAGCTGAGGTTAGGACTAAAGGTCCAGAAGTTAAAAGACCCTATAGTCAGTGTTCTCGCAGACAACCGCACGATGCGAGTTGAGGACTACCTAGAGGGAGTCCAGGCATACTTTCGCTTAGAGCAGAAAGGAAAAGTGGAGAAGGTCCTCCATTCTTCGACTCTCCTCGTGCATGATGACCTTTCTTTTGATGTAGTTTTAGGAATGGATTGGGGAGAGGCAGCAGGGGCCACACTCCAGTTGAGAGAGCATGAGTGTAGGCTCCCTAGTCCGTCAGGCGAGGCTAAGACTGCCCGCTTGTTCCATGTGTCTGGTGTAGACAATACCTTTGCACATTGCTGTCTCAGTGCTCCCGCGTTCGCGCGATTAGTCGAAAAGGAGCAGTTAGAGGAACAGGTCTTTGTAGTTTATGTTAGACCTGTCACCGAGGCCCAGGAAAAGGATAGTTCCACAGATCCAACAATTGCCAAGCTGCTGGAAGAATTCAAAGACTTGACTGAGTCGCTGAGAGGAGTAGTGTCGCGACCCATCCAACACAGGATAAAGATAGAGCCTGGCAGTAGAACTCCTAAGGGTGCAGTCTACAGGATGTCCCCTAGAGAGTTAGAGGAGCTTCGCAAACAGTTAGACGAGCTCGTTGAGAAAGGTTGGATCAGACCCAGCTCGTCTCCTTTTGGAGCACCCGTCCTGTTCGTCCCAAAGAAGGAAGGAGAGCTACGTATGTGCAAAGACTATAGGGGTTTGAATGCGATTACCGTGAAGAATGTTGAACCGCTGCCCAGGATAGACGATCTTTTAGATCGGGTGCAGGGTTGCAAGTATTTCTCTAAGATAGACTTAAAATCCGGGTATCATCAGATAGAGGTCCATCCTGATGACCAGTACAAGACTGCGTTCCGGACGAGATACGGGCATTATGAGTTCATAGTGATGCCCTTTGGACTAACCAACGCGCCAGCTACTTTTCAACGTTGTATGAATGACCTGTTTAG